AGGGAGAGGGACTGTGGAAGGCTGGTCTGTCACCGCCCCCTCTCCCAACTGGGGCCTGGGGGAAGGGGCCGAGGAAGGTTGGCCCGCTGGGGGAAGGGGCCATGGAAGCTTGGCCGTGGGAGCGCACTTACCACCAGGGGGCAGCTCCTGCATTGAGCGTCTGCCCTCTGGTGGTCAGTGCACATCATAGCGACTGGTTATATGATCACTTAGGCTTTTATATATAGATAAAACAGATTATAAATATTAAAAAAAAAAAAGTAAGAAACATCAATGATGAAAGAGAATTACTGATCGGCTGCTTCCTGCACACCCCCTACTAGGGATCGAGCCTGCAACCTGGGCACATGCCCTTGCCCAGAATCAAAACCTGGGACCCCTCAGTCCGCAGGCCAATGCTCTATCCACTAAGCCAAACCAGCTAGGGCAATAAGCTATTCTTTAAAATATAAATAAATAACCTGGCTACAGAACAACTCATGTGATAGTCCATTTTTGTTAAAAAAAAAACAACAAAAACAAAAAGGGTATGCACATTTGCAAAAGTAAAAAGGAGAAAGCTATCTATCAAACTTAACATTGATTATCTCTAGATTTCTCTTTGGCTCATGCCATTCAAATCATTCTGTAAGTAACGTATTTCCTGTTTAATCAAAGCACACGGGCTCCCAGCTCCAGCTCCCGTCCTCCTGGCTACCCTCCCTGAACGGATCTAAGCCGCTCCCTGCAGCCCCGCAGGGACAGGAGCCCTCTCCAGTTCTGTATTTCCCTCTGCCCCACAGGCTCCCAGCTCCAGCCTCGGGAACTGCTGCCACTCAGCACCCCGCCGTCCTCCAAGGCGCTGCAGGACCCACCGGCGTCAGCTTGCCCGTCAGCAGCAGGAGCAGGGTGCTCTTCCCCACGCCGTTGGGACCCACGATGCAGACTGCCGGAAGCAAGGCAGGTGGTCAGAGAGGCCCCACTCCCTCTCCCTGGGCCCCTGCTTTGCCTCCTCTGGCCACCCAACACCAACTCACTTCTTGAGTCCATGTCGATGCCAAAATCCAGGTTCTTAAAGAGTGGTTTCTGCCCCTCATAGCCAAACGTCACACCTGAGAGCCAGGAAAGGAAGCAGCTTCTTTTCTTTCCCGTTACCCTTCAGGGCCCTGTGTCCCGGCCCTGGAGGACGGGTGCCCGCGCTCCCACCCACGCTGCCGGGCTGAGGCTACCGTGCAGGCCCAGCACGGGAGGGCTGAGCGGCGGGGGGTCGGGGAACGTGAAGCGCACAGTGTACTCCTTGGGGCGCTTCAGGAGCTCGGGGGCCTCCTGCGATTCCTCGTCCTGGTTTTTTCGTCGGCATTTCTGCTGCTTCCGAGTCAGGGCTTCCTTTGTTTGCTTTTCCTGCAGAAAAAAGGGAAAGGGAGAAACCCTCACCTGCACAGTGGCCCCTGAAATGCAGGTTGGTGTCCGAGTGTCTCTTTGTCCACTCTCCTGAGGAGAGCCCCCATCGCAGGAGCCCCCCGCGTGCTCACCGCCTGCTTGGTGGACTTGCCGCCCGCCTTCAGCTCCTTCAGCTTCTTCTCCTGCTTCTCATACTGCTTCAGCAGCTCCTTCTGCTTTTGCTGGTACATCTTCTTGAAGGTCACTGGGCAGAGCGGATGGACATCAGTGGGTGCCCCTCTCCCAGCCACCGAGGGGGTAATCAGGACTGAGGGTGATGGGACTGACGGCGTCCATGCCCAGATTCTGAGGCCCAGCTCCTCACCATGGTGAGCCCACTTACTGTAATTGCCCCTGTAGTAGTGGAGCCGCTGGGCGTCGAGGTGGATGATGTCAGTGCAGACGTCATCCAGGAAGCCCTGGTCATGGGAGACGATGAGCAACGTCTTCCGCCAGCCCTGCAGGTAGCTGGGTTTTAGAGCAGAGTGTGGAAAGGTCACAATGGTCACGTCAGGGTTCAGCTGGGCAGCAGACAGGTGGGGGCTAGGGAGGGGGGCCGGCTGGACCAGGCACCAAGGGCAGATGGGGAGAGCTAGAGGAGGAGGCAGCGTGGCACTGCCGGGCCGAGGCCGGAGGCCAGGGCGACGGACGCACTTGTTGAGCCAGATGACGGCGTTGAGGTCCAGGTGGTTGGTGGGCTCGTCCAGCAGCAGCAGCGTGGGCTCCATGAACAGCGCCCTGGGGGGGTAGCCAAGGGCAGGGTCAGAGCAGAGGCCTTGCTCAGAGGACCCCAGAGCAGCCCCAGTAGGTGGAGCCCGAGACCATGAACTTCCTTCCCAATTTCTCCTCAGAGGAGCTCCTGTGCAGAAGACATCAATAACGTCCCCCAGGGAGAGACATGAGGAGCCTGGGGCCCAACACCACCAAGGAGGGGAGAGCAGCCAGCCCTGAACCTCCCTGCTGGCCTTGGCAGGATGGGAAGAAGGGAAAGGGCCTGGTGTTTGAGGCTGAAGGGAGGGCAGTTGGTGGGCAGCCCCCACCTGGCCAGGGAGACACGCATGCGCCAGCCTCCCGAGAACTTCTGTGTGGGCCGATTCTGCATTTCAGGATCGAACCCCAGACCAGCCAGGATCCGCCGGGCTTTGGCCTCTGCGGCTGCCGCGCCAGTAGCCCTCAGTTCCTCATACACCTGGGAGAGGGAGAAGAGGTCACAGGCCGAGGTCACAGGAACCCTGAGGGCTCAGCCTGTGAGCCTGCCGAGTCCTCTACCTTCTCCAGCCGCTCAGCTGCTGTGTCGTCGCCCTGCTCCAGCTGAGCCTGAAGCTGTCGCTCCTCCTCCAGCAGCTTCAATCGCTTGGTGTCGGCTCGAAGAACAGCCTGCACTGCGGGTGTTTCATCCGCTACCACCTCTGGGAGTGGGGAGGACAGTCAGGCCACCCCGGGGTCAGGGTCCTATGCCCCCTGCCCTTCAGCACTATTTCTGGTTTGCCTGATCCTGCCCAGCTCTATGTGCCTGTTCCGAATGAAACGCCCTGTGTCCCACACTTCCCCCTGCTGTAACATCACTTCCCAGGTTCCCCACATGACGTTCCCAAGCCCCCTTCCTAACGGCTCCTCTCCCGGCGCCCGGAGCCCCGCAGCCTCACCCTGCTCACAGAGCAGCACATCGATGTTGGGGGGGATGCTCAAGGCGCGGTTGGCAATGTGCTTGAGGAGAGTGGTCTTGCCCTTGCTGGGGATGAGAAATCGGGACCAAGCTGCACTGAGAAATCCTTCTCTTCCTTCCAGCCTCGCCCTCTCTGCCCCCCAGCCCCTCCTCTCCTCACCCGTTGGGCCCCACTAGCCCATAGCGGCGGCCGGCCACTATGTACAGGTCTGCGTTGACGAACAGCTCCTTGCCGTGGGCAGAGATGCTGAACTTCTCCAGCTGTGGCCACCAGGGCAGCGGTGCAGAGGGAAGGAATGGGCACAATGAGGCTCTCCCCCCAGCTGGTGGCTACAGCCTCTCCCTGCAGGGGGACCCCTGGCAAGTCCAGGCCTCCAGCACAGCCCCTCCTACCTTGTAGGGCCTCTCCCTGTCCACTGCCTCTAACAGCTCGTGCACACCCTATGCGTCCAGCCTGTCCCACAACTTCCCTCCAAGGGTGGGCCCTCTACTTCTACTGATTTTTTTATCTTCTCACTCAAGATGCAGAACTCCAGGTGTGGAAACCGCCTCCAAGCATTCCCACCGTGGACAAGCCCCGCACACCCACGCACACACCCACGTCCCTGGCTGCTGGGCCATGCCGCAGAGAACAGGCACTTCCCTGCGCGGGGAAAGACACCCCACCTTGATGTCAGACGCATTCTCTAGCATGGCCTGGCGAGAGGACACCTCTGCTTGCGACACGGAGAAGTCATTCTCAGCAGCGTTGGCGGCCTTTAACGACGCCACCTGGCGCTCATACTCCATCTGAGGAGGAGGGGCAACCACTGTCGCCAGCTCAGCGCCGCCACCACGATCCCACCCAGGTCCCCAGACACCGCCAGAGCCCCCACTCCCCTCACTCTGCGTGTTCTGCCTGAGGCAGCACTCAGAGCTCTCCTCTTGTCCCCACAGTCACAGGCCCTCTAGCTGAAGCTTAAAAATATCAAATGTTCCTACCTTTTCCCACTAGGAATCCAAGGACTTACCTGTTTCTTCAGCTTTTTCTTCTCTTTTTTGCTAAGGTGGGCATAGGGATCATTGGCCTTAGACTCCCCTTCTTCCTCCTCTCCTTCCTCCTCGGAACCCTGTGAGAACCAGGAAGTGGTAAAACACCAGGGCCCCTTCTAGAGCTCGCCTACGCCGTCTCCGTCAGCTCTTCCCCTCTGCGGACACTGTGGCGGCCTCTCGCACCCACCCGGTCTCCTCCGTCCATTTCTGCCACCACGCATGGGGCCCGGCACCAGCGGAGGATCCAGGAAACTGCCTGTGCTCCTGCACCCCGAGCTGCCAGCACCACGTGACTGGGTCCCTCTCCTCACGCACCAGGTGTTATTGGAGCGCACACAGTGACATGCAGAGAAGGGGTCCGGAAGCCCTAGCCACAGGCGCTAAGGGTGCAGCAAGCCAGGACAGGAGGCACGGGGCATACAGGGCCTGCGGAGACCATGGACTCCTGCGTCCCATGCGGATGAGGTAACTGAGAACCGAGGAGGGAAGATGTACTCAAGGCCACACACACAGACCGTCTGAATCCAATGCCAGGTCTCTTCCTCTCTGGATCAGGGGCTGCAATCTGTGGCCCATGGGCCCAATCAGACCCAAGGCCTGTTTCTATATGGCCCTGAGGTAAGCATGGTTTAGCCCGGCCGGTGTGGCTCGGTGGTTGAGTGTTGACCTATGAACCAGGTCACCAGTTCAATTCCTGGTCAGGCACATGCCCGGCTTGAGGGCTCAGCCCCGGTCGGAACTGCACAGGGGCAGGGTGGGAGCTGATCAATGTCTCTCTCTCTTATCTATCACTCTGAAAATCAATAAAAACGTATTTTAAAAAAAGAATGGCTTTTACATATTCAAAAATACTTTTACATATCTGTTTTTAAAAAAGGAGGAACCCGAGACTAGTCCCATCTTGACAGCTGCTGTCTGGTGTGCTAGGGCTCTCGGGAAGAACCTGCGGGTCTCGATTCACTGGCGAGGGCAGGAAGTGCCCGGCGGGGCTCAGATCAGAAACACAGGCTTCCCAGCTCCTAGACAGAATGAGCTGTCTGTCATCTTTCCTCATACTCATTAGGGAGCTGGTACCTGCCATAGTGTGTTATAACCATTTTCTCTCTTCTAAAAAAAGAAAAAAAGAAAAAGAAATAAAAAAGGAAGAAGAATATACATCAGAGATTGTATGTGGCCTGCAAAGCCAGAAATATTGCTATGTGCCAACTCCTTTACAGAAGTCTGCCCACTCCCGCGGGGTGTAGTGCCAGCACCCAGACCCCGGCCGCCTCCACATGGGAACACTCACCTGCTCTGCTTTCTTGGCCTTCTCCTTCCCTTGCTTGGATGGCTCTTTTTCTTTTGTTAGTGTTTCTTCTCCATCCTCTTCACCTTCATTGTCCAGAGCGAAAAATTTATTCTGAGGCTAACAGAGAAGAGACAGGCTGATGAAATGCTCCAAGTCTTGAGACCAGCACCTTCTCCTGCCGACTTCCTCCCTCACCTTGGCTTTCCCTGTTGACTTCTCTTCCTTTCCCCTGGTGCCCTTGAGTCCTGGTTGTTCCTCAGATACAGCCTGGAGAGGACATGGAGATGAGACAGACAGACAGACAGACAGGCAGGCAGACACACACACGCTGATTTGCTACCTTGTTGCTTAACAAGCATTTCTCGGGATCTAGGATGAGGAGTCACTGCGCTGAGTGGGACTAGGGAGAAAGTGAGACCCAGAACAGCCCCCACCTCCAATGGGAGATTAGAGAGTAAAGAGAAGACGAGAGCATTGGCCTGCGAGCCACAGGAGCGGTGGCAGCCGCGCTGGAGGGCTTCCTCGCGGGCACACGCGAGAGGTGACGGAGGGGCTGGAGGAGAGTCCCGGGAAGACAGAGTACAGGGCACAGAGCAAAGGCCACACAGTCGGCTGGAAGCCAAGTGCAGTCAGGCCCTCTGAAAGGTCCGCACACGGAAGACTCCCAAATGGAAGAGCAAAGATTTGAAGGCCTTTGTTTCAGATCTTGACTTTGAAAGCAACAGAATCACTGTAGACTTCCAAGTTATAAAAAGAGTATTTTAAAAAGCTGCATTTGATAGTTTAAGCAAGACAGACTAGAAGTGCTAGCCCAGGAGCAGGAAATCAAGCCAGCGAATTGGCCCACCACGGCCAGAAGGTGCTCCGCGGGGCGGGCGCACCTGGCAGGGCCATCACTTTCACCTTATTGATCCGATTTTTCTCCGGCTTGGCAGGCTTAGGAGGGTGTTTTTCTTCCTCCTCCTCTTCCTCACTCTGATCCTGAATCAGGGCTGCAAAAGCATTGCCTCCCTGGGCATGAAAGGGCAGAGAAGTCAGTGGATGATCGAGACTGCGCACCCGAGGCCTGCTTACCATGCAATGGCTTACCTTGGTTTCCTTCCCTCCTCGGGATTTCAGGGCAGGTACTGAAATGACAAACAAGATCAGGCAGGAAAGAGAATGATGATTCTGGCTCTTCAATCTAAAACAACTCATAGATGAAGGGATGAGGCACACCCTCACCCTGGCTCAGGGCTGCAGGCCCCACTCCCATCATTACCCTCTCCCTCCTCGTCACTGGCGGGCACCGAGAGCTTCTGCAGGCGCTCCAGCAGTTCCTTCTCTTCGCCATCATCATCCACATCCTTCTTCCTCCGGCCTTTTCGGGTATCTCGTTTTTTTTTTTGCTGCTGAAAGCAGAGAGTGAGAAGAGTCTGAGGCGCAGGTCCCTATCGTCCCTCTGCCTCAGAGTCCCATCACCGGCTGCACCCACGTGGTGGCGAGGCCTGGTGGGCCCCCAACACTTGTACCTGCTGCTGCTGCTGCTGCTCCTTCTCCTTGCGCACTTTCTCTTCTTCCCCAGCCTGTTTATCTTCTACTGCCAGCTCTTCAAAGAACTAGCAAGAGTTCAGGTACAGGTCAGCATGGCTCAGATGACCCAGCCCTCCCTCCCACCCACGCCTGCTTCCTCTCTTGACAGGCTTTCTCCCCAGACCTCCCAATACCTTCACATGGAAACACTTAATCAAGTTCATCCTCAACCCCATTTCCTCACCGTCTTTTTGTTCTTCTTGTCCTTCTTCCCTTTCTTCACCACTCTGTCTAGGAGGTGAAGCAGACATTGTGAATGCTCCCCTGCAAAGCCCTCAGATGGCCTCCACCCCTTTCACTGTGTTTCTAGCTCACCTATCATTCTCTACACATGTGCACTGTCCCACGCCACAGACATAGGTGGCTGGTCTAGGGCGGCATTGGGAGGGAGGAAGCAGAATTCGGAGGGTGAAGGTAGAGATGGGAAGGGAGACAGAGCAGTTCCAAATGACTCCTATGTTTGTAGCTAGCAAAACTGGGCTCCTAGTGCCACTCATTAACTTGAGGTTTAATGAAAAGAGAAGGTCCCCTCTTCCCACCCCTGCCACCCAAGGCAGAACAAAGAGCCATGAATTCAACTGGGATATGGTGTCTGTGAGACGTGCAGCCACACAGAGATGGTTCTTTAAGGAAATGAACTCCAAGCATTCTAGCCCAAATCACAGTGTTACACTCAGCAGTCCTTCACCACAGCCACCGGCGGTGCTCCCAGGGCACAAAGCGGGGCGTCAATGGAAGTTTACTGACTGAACGACGTCCAGTCTTCCCTTCTGTCCATCCTGGCTCCCCTGAACTATGTCTACCTCCCCATTCCCTTCCACCGTCAGACCAGAAGGCAACCAGCAGCTTCATGATTTCTCTTCATGTCTAGGTCTGTCCACCATCATATTCCCTCCAAACCATTCCCTCCTATCCAAAAGCACTCCTGTAATCACTTAGCTTAAAAAAAAAAAAAAAAAGCCACCAAAACAAACAAAAACCACGAATGGCTTTCTGCTATAACAGTAAGTACTGCTCAGACCAGAAGCCCATGTGACCCACAGCAATTACTTCCCGAGGAAATTTCAGTGCGCATCTACTACGCCTAAAACTGGTGACTGATGAGGACAGTCCCTTCCGACTAAGAGGGCCTGTCCCACCTTCTCTGTACAGCTGTTTCCCTATGTTCTGGACAGTGGCTTCTCCTGGCTCCTTGATTTAGCCCCAGGCATGGAAGTCCTCCATCCAGAACACATTTCACAATCTGGCCTCTGCACGGGGTGACTGGTGTGGAGTTGCAAAGATGCACAGGAGAAACAATGAAAGGCTGTATATGCTACTAGAGGCCCGGTGCACAAATCTGTGCACCAGTGGGGCCCCTCTGCCTGGCCTGCGGGATCAGGCCAAAACCGGCTCCCCTACCGAAACAGGCTCTCTGACATCCCGAGGGGTCCTGGATTGCGAGAGGGCGCAGGTCAGGCTGAGGGACCCCACCGGTGCATGATCAGGGCTGGGGAGGGACATAGGAGGTTCCCAGCCGGGGAGGGACCGTGGGAGGGCTTGTCTGGCCCATCTCACTCAGTCCCGTTTGGCCACACCCCAGCAGCAAGCTCACCTACTGGTCAGAGCATCTTCCCCCTGGTGGTCAGTGCACATTATAACAAGCGGTTGAGCAGCCTTAGCATATCATTATAACGCTTTTTTTTTTTAAATATATTTTATTGATTTTTTACAGAGAGGAAGGGAGAGAGATAGAAAGCTAGAAACATCGATGAGAGAGAACCATCGATCAGCTGCCTCCTGCACATCTCCCACCGGGGATATGCCCGCAACCCAGGCACATGCCCCCGACCGGAACCGAACCCGGGACCTCTCAGTCCGCAGGCCGACGCTCCATCCACTGAGCCAAACCGGTTTCGGCTATAACGCTTTTTTTAAAAATATATATTTTATTGATTTTTTACAGAGAGGAAGGGAGAGGGATACAGAGTTAGAAACATCAATGAGAGAGAAACATCGATTCAGCTGCCTCTTGCATGCCCCCTATTGGGGATGTGCCCGCAACCCAGGTACATGCCCTTAACCAGAATCGAACCTGGGACCCTTCAGTCCGCAGGCCGAAACTCTATCTGCTGAGCCAAACCGGTTAGGGCTATCATATTACGCTTTGATTGGTTGAACAGACAACTGGACACTTAGCATATTAGGCTTTTATTATATAGGACTAGAGGCCCAGTGAACAAAAATTTGTGCACTCGGGGGGGAAGGGGAAGTCCCTCAGCCTGGCCTGTGCCCTCTCGCAGTCTGGGACCCCTCGGGAGATAATGACCTGCTGGCTTAGGCCTGCTCCCAGGTGGCAGAGGGCAGGCCCAATCCCTACGTGCAGCCCCTGGTCGGGTTCAGAGCAGGGCCGATTGGGGAGTTGGGGCGCCGCCCCCTGTCATGCACAGAGCAGGGCGGATTGGGAGGTTGCAATGCCACCCTCAATCATGCTCAGGGTAGGGCCGATTGGGGGGTTGGGGCACCGCCCCCTGTCACACTCAAGGCAGGGTCGATAGGGAGGTTCTGGCGCCACCCCCTGTCATGCACAGAGCAGGGCCAATCAGGGGATTGGGGCGCTGCCCCCTATCACGCACAGACCAGGGTCCATCAGGGGGGTTGGGGAGCTCCCCCCTGTCATGCACAGAGCAGGGTCGATCAGGGGGTTGGGGAGCTCCCCCCTGTCACGCACAGACCAGGGCCCATCAGGGGGGTTGGGGAGCTCCCCTGTCATGCACAGAGCAGGGTCAATCAGGGGGTTGGGGAGCTCCCCCCTGTCACGCACAGAGCAGGGCCCATCAGGGGGTTGAGGAGCTCCCCCCTGTCACTTACAGAGTTGGGGTGATAGGGGAGTTGGGGCACCGGCCCCTGTCACACACAGAGCAGGGCGGATCAGGGGGTTAGGGCGCCGCCCTCTATCACCCACAGAGCAGGGCCGATCAGGGGGTTGGGGCGCTGCCACTGTCACACTCAGGGCAGGGCCGATGGGGGGGTTATGGCTCTACCCCATCACACACAGAATAGGGCCCGTGGGAGGGGGGGGCGTTGGGGAGCCGCCCTCTATCACCCACAGAGCAGGGCCGATCAGGGGGTTGGGGTGCCGCCACTGTCACACTCAAGGCAGGGCCA